TCAAGTATTGACAACACGACGTAGAGGGAACGCCATGCACCGCAAACACGGGCGTAGGAATTTTATCGGGTGGCACACGACACGTCCCCCACGGCCTGGGAAGTGTGGGGACTGCTTTTTCTAAAGGGGGATATAAGGGGTTTCTCAGACAACGTTCGTCCTCCCCATGTCACATTTACGTGGGGGAAAACTTCGCCGTTAGGTTGCACGACGTCTTTAAATTCCGGAAATGTATCGCCGATAGAAACGACCACAACGTGGTACACTGCGAGTACGAACCGTTCAGAAAATTTGGTGATATGTCACTTTCGGCAGCGGCTCAAAGAATGAAAGAATGTCCGAATGCTGGTGGAAGTTCCGTCGAGTCTGAAGTTTTGAGGTAAATCATCGAACATAAATTCTCTTTCATCAGTGCATTTGACAACTTTCATAGATATCATAGTTTTCGTAAATGTTTGAACTGCACAAAACTCATTGCGCTTCGTAGAGTATGCCGGCCCAGGTACAATTCTCGGTGCTGACAACTTCGTCTTTAGTGTCGTATCTCACACGGCAGATACATATGGGTAAATTTCTTACGTCCTTAAAGATTTTGTATTTTTTTTTCATTTTTACATAGAAAGAACCAGATAAATTTCTGGATCTTTCCCTGCTTCGTGTGGGGGTATCACAGTCAAAAAGTGGAAAATTAGAATAAAAACATAAGCATATAATTGCAGTGAAAGGAGAGTTGCTATAGTTACCCATATATGTGGTTACCATATTGTAGAAAGCGATACCTGAATGCAGAATGCATTACAGAACAAAGTGAATCTAATTAAGACGTTACATCATTGTAATGTACACCAGTTATAAGTTTAGTTAGTGATTTTTTTTTTATTTGTTATTATAGCTATGAATTGTTGAAACGCTGTTATGGAGCTGAGTTGTTGAAAACCGAGATGGAGGTTGCGTACTTTCCATATGGTGGTTCTATTACTGACTATACGTGTCAGATATTCAACACAAAACTGGGCGTGTCTGTTACCAGGGCAATGAAATACAAAGGAGAATTCGACATAGAAGATGCAGAAAAATTGCTGAACAAAAAGTTGAATGGTGAGTGATCATGCATTTTTGAGATTACTAGTAATTCAGTCACGTGAAAGCAGGACAACCATCATTCCTGGCGGTAACAGGTGATAATAGCACAGCGAGTCTTGCTATGATAAATAGTATATTACATAAGAAAATCAAAAATAAACAAATTGGTTCCGACAAAGTCACAACAGCGATAAAAGACAAATGCTGAATCCGTACGCATGTATATGTATTATAAACGTCTTGGATTCGTACGATATCGCCTATTGTATACATAGTACACATACCGCGGTTATTAGAATTTTAGTAACCGTGATAGTACTGACAATAATCGTATACCGCGGTCAATTGATCTATATTATCAATTCTAGTAAGTAAGTAGGTATAATCGGACATGAACACGTAAAGCAGACTACTAGTGACAGAGACTTACCATAACACAGATATATAAATATATTTTTGTTCAAATTAAATGTTGTTGGAGTAGTAAAATGTACCAGTGGCCCATGCACATTGAAGACGATGACTTGAATCTTGTTATATGCGAGATACCGGCAATCACGAGACTTGTGCTTATTATGTGACGTAATCGTCTTTGTCTCGAGCAAATTCATTAATTAATCGTTGTTTATTTACAGGTGTCATCAATGCCACCAAAAACTCGCTAGAAGACTGGTCCAAACAAATCTTACATATTTGGTCTACGTCGAGTCACGTGACTAACACAGTGATAAAAGCCTATAATGGACTTCCCAGTACGATCACATCAAATACTGTTGTTCTCATCACCACAGTTAATAAACACGAATCTATTTTTAGAAACAATGAATAATACGGGAGTCTACTACTACACGGACAACAACGTCGAAGATCGCTACGTGCCAATGACAGACTACTACTGATGAACACGCTCATATCGCACAGTGGCGCCCCGGCGACGATAATGATATCCACCCACTTCCGTATTCTTTTATTGATTCAATATTTTTACCATCGTCATTAAATTGTTAACAGTAACTTACCCTCTATGTGACATAATTACGTGTTGTCGATCCGAGAAGTTATGGTGCCATGTTGAAAACATCGCGAGACTTACCTGAGCCCACTCCCCCCAAGTACAATAAGATACCAACTGTTTATATGTACATGTATATCCAAGTAATTGTAAAATAATGTATTTTATTTTTTCACTTTTAAATATAAATATAAATGTCAACATACATAGGTTTTGCAAAGTGTGATACAATGAACGACTGAGAATCAGTTCTGGGGCTGCTGTCGCAAATTCAGTCAATCCGTCCCAATTCTCATTCGTCCCGCAAGTCGATTAGTCGACTTTTTTTTGGTCGTCAGGATTATGATCTTGGGCAACGTGATGTCAATTTTTATGTTTGAGTGCAGGGAGTTGACATCAAACAGAGTCTATAGTTGTGTTCACGTTACACGAAGTACGGGCTAAGATTTAAGCTGATTTAGGCTTATCTAGCATATTTGCATTTCGGCTAGACCCAATTGCGTCCACTCACAGGGAGGGCCAGTCGTTAGCACGGGCTAAGGGGCACCATCAGTCGGTGACCTTTGGCAAGCCGCTATTTACGAACGAAAAATGGATGACAAGCGCGAGGTTATATTTCTGCTGCTGACAAGTTTCGTTCTAATTTTGAAGCGACGTGCACAGGAACGCGAGAGAAGACGGACCCAACTTATTTGGATGCACAGAAACAGTATACAACGGCGTAACACAATACAGAGTTTTATTAATGCTTGTCGTTGACAACGAACCAAATTTATTTTGTCTACGATTGGAGCTGCTGTACGCTCTAC